TGTAACTGCGATGATCAGTCATGTCATCAGAAGTGGGTCTGATGCGGAAATAATTCCAAATGTTACCAACGTTTTCACAAAACTTAACCCTTTAAGAGACATTTGAAACCGTCGCACAAATAAACGAAGAGCTAAAAAGAACGGAATCTGATGGTGCATTTTGTCAAAAAAAATAAAGCGGCTAGTCGATAACTGTTCTTTTTTCTTTACTTTTAATTTTTTGTTGTTTTTGTTGTTTTTTTGTTTTGCTAATAGTAGAAAATCGGTAGAGAAAATGATCCATAAAAAGAAAATAGGGGTCACCGAACGTCCAAGATCGTTAAATCCAGTTAAAGCTATAGCAATGGCCATCTGTCCTATCAGTGTTCATTTTATTACTTAGCGCGCGCTTTCAAGCATGACGGGATGATGTCGTCTTTTTGTAGAAACTTTCTCTTATTAAGAAAGTTTCTCTTATGGTCGGAACACTTAGTTTGAGCAAGAGATCATCAAGGTAAGAGAGTGACTCCCCCATATAGGCCTTATACCCAAGATAATCCCTCTTAGGCCCGATCGATTTACACGGTACGACTTTTTCGCTTGCGACAAGCTTACGACAAGCCTAGACATGACTTAAGACCATTTACACGCACACGACATTTTCATTTACAAAATTAATTATGCGAAACTGTTTGCACCGGGATTTTCGGCGCGAAAGTTCTAGCAAACGGTAAAAAAATGTTTTAGCTGTTCTGCGCTTTGAAAAAAACTTTCTAACTAGCTGTTTTTCGCTTTAATCCGTTCAGTACTTTTCGAGAAACGAGTTCATGTGAATCAGTCAACAAAAACTTTGTCCGCCATTTTGACGCCAGAAAACTCAGTAGAAATTTGTTACAAAATACATCATTTTCTATCGATTTCGGCTACGATTGTCGCAGCGTTTTAAAACATGTTTTAAAATCCTACGACATATTCTTGATGTACACAACAGTCGCAAACGAGTTGTAGGTTTGATTTACACACAACAATTCATGTCGTAAGCCTGTCGTAAGCTTTTCGCCTGCATGAAAGTCGTACCATGTAAATCTGCCGTTAATTTATTTTTAGACGTGGTACCCAGTAATTCCGAGGATATTAATCGCACTTTGCGTGGAAGTGTTCGTGGAGGATTTGTTTATGTTCCCTTTCGTTTCTTTTCGTTTCAAAGCCAAGGAAAACCTCCAACATTTTAATATCAAAGGAGCAAAGGAGCTCTGGCCCTCGCTATGCTTTAATACATTTCGAAAATTTCATGTGAATTTAAATAAGAGACAGAGGTCCCCTGCACAAACAATAAAAACTGAATGAAAGCCATAGAAATGATCAACCACACAAGTTTGAAGCAAACGAACGTCCAAACACAACTCAACGGAACGATTAGATGGCAAAAGAACACAAAGAATTTCGACAAGAGGATTCACTTGGTGATTCTTTAACAGTCAGTAATCGTTGAAATATTCCTCGCACTTTTGATGCGTCAACTGTTTTTCTGTGTCATTTGAAATTACCATGGCAACCACATTTTGTCTTACATCATTGCAAATCAGTAGTTGTTAACATTCCAAATTCAGTTAAGATGAATTTAGCTGGCTACGTCATTTTATGACATTCAGAGAAAATAGTGAAATCCAAAATGGCGGATCTAAGATAGAGGACTTAATGACATCATGTAATGTCACAACGTCGTGATCAAGAAAATAATATGTTATTACTCGGGCTTCCGTAGGAAAGCCCGAGTCTTAAAATGCTCGCGTTTTGGTCGCCGAAAGGGGGGTCATTGTCCCAGGCGTTCCATGCGTAGACCATTGAAACTGGGGATGAGAAACGCGACATTGTTAGCTCTTCTTGACAGAATGCGGTGTTTTGCGAAGAAAGTTTTGGCAAGAATCGTGCCTTATACGTTCATCTCCTACACAAAAATGTCGATCGTTTTCAGAGAGGGTCGGTCCACGAATTATATTGCTTGAAAGTCAGCCAGGTAAGCAAAGTTCACGCTCGAAACGTTCTC